TATGCAAAGTGTTTTTTCGGCCAGCAGCAAAGGGGCTATTCTACCAGTTTCAGCTACATGTTATACAGGGTGTATCAAAAAACCTGCAAACCTTTTGAAAAACAATGTTTTAGAATTTGCATGATTCAGAACTAATTGATCCCAAGCGTGCGTAAACACAATAGTTGACCCATTCGCAGTCGAACTGATAGGATAATTAGTTTTCTGAATTACAAATAACTTTGTGTTATTCTAATTTCTATCAACGCGGTTAATTAGAATTATTTTCAAATCCCAGGAGCAAAATAAGTAGCAATTGGCGACACAGAAATCGCTCTTTGTGCTGCGCTGGCGAATCTCATAAAACTATAGCGCCGCGGCCTGGCGGCTCTTTTATTACCAACTCTGGTACCGCAGCGAGGGCATTGGGGGCGGGGGTGGTTAACCCAATCCCTTTGCAGGACCAACATAGATTCGGAAAATCGGGTTGGCCATTCGGAAAATTACGGCAATAACAGTATAACAAAATTTTAGTTGTTTAAACAGAAAAAAATATTATAAAATGGTATTGTCAGTATAAACCATTGGTATAAACTGATTCACCAAATCACGGCATTTACATGGATAACGTAAAACAAATCGTAAATCGGTAAATGTTTTTCGGTCTATTACTTCTCAGGGCCGTAGCAGTCGGGGGGAGGGGGGGGGGGGCAGGACTGGGGGCAGCAGCCCTTACAATAATTTGCTGATAATCATTCTTTTTTCAAAATCATGCACACCTTTATCATTTAAATAATATACCTTTAAAATACTGACAATAGACTAGAGGTGTGCATCGGATCGGATTGAACGTTTATAATCCGACAATTGCCTAATGTTTAAAATCCGATCCGAACTCTAATCCGAATCCGATCCGAGTTTTGAAAAAGAATTCCAATCCGATCCGATGAATTCTTTAATAAAATAAATTTCTCATTCAAGTTGAAATAATTGACCAAATAAATATAAAAGCAAGAAATACATGTCAAGAAGCTGACAAAGTGACGTCCAATTGAAGTATCAAACGAATAATGCAGCGAAAACCGCGATGATACTTTGATAAATGTATGGATAATTAATTCTTGCGATAATGCATGGATAATTAATTCATTTTATTTCGGATATCGAAGTCCGATCCGACTACGAAACAACTTTATCAATCCGATCCGAAATTTACATTTTGGTTCCGAAATCCGAACGAATCCGATCGGATTCGGATCGGATTTGCACACCTCTACAATAGACAAGCCTGGACAAAAATTTCACCACAGCTTGAAAGAGCATCACAAAATTAGTAATATTCCGAAGTTGCGTTGAATGTTGTAAAATGCGGATAATATAGCCTTGCGAAGTTTGCCGTTTTTCAGTCATTTTGCATTATAAACGTAAATTTGATAATCAGATGATCAAACTGATTATCAATTTCCCATTTGTAATACAATGACTGAAAAACGGCAAACTTCGCAAGGCTATATTATCCGCATTTCGCAACGACCTTGCCTGTTGTGGATGCATACTCAGAGTAACGTCACAAATATCACACTAAAACTCCGTTTTCTGACCATCAGAATTCTGTCAAAACTTCCCCAAAGTCCAGGAAATGGCATTTCAGAGAATCTAAATTTAAAAATTTCCTCGGGGTTTCGGCCCTCGTTCCCAGCCCCCAATAAAAAAGAGCTTCCTACGGCGCATGCTTCTGTAATATGTCTTTGCGTAAACTATGTGTATTTTTGTTTGTAAATTGCATCTTCATTTTCCGGATAGCAAACACCTTCGTGGCTTCGTATGCCATGAAATATTCGGAAATTTTCTTCGTCATTCGGAAATTTTTGGCCTACACCCCCCCCCAACTATTACATGCTAGCTACGGCCCTGACAAGATTATCCTTGTACAACACTTATATATCCCTATCTTACTTAATGTAATATTGTATGGTCTTCCACTTATGTAACCAACCTCAACAGCGACATATGCATGAATATTCCTCATAATTATTTTCCTTTTGTCTTATGTTTTATTACGCATGCCTATTCGATCTACAATGAAGACAATGAAAGGTGATAGCTTTTCGAGCGCGCACACTTGGGGGAAATGTTCATTCGTGACTGAAATAATTCAACATGTTGAATATTCGGTGCCGATGGCACGCGTGGCTGAAATCGCTCAAAACGCCACCGCACACTGGGGAACTTGCTTACGCCAACAGTCACGAGTGACGCTCAGCTCAGCTGATATCTCCAGTGTGCGCCGGGCTTTAAAGAATAAGGATGTTAATTTAAACAACTAGCTCTGATATGCTATGACCATGTTTATCGAATATTGAGTAACAATGTATAAAATTATTGGAAAATGCAACGGCATGATTCGTATTTAGTATGCACATATAAAAAATGTCGACTAAAGACTAAAATTATTTTGAACTATAGCTACAAAGGAATTCTATGGCTTGACACCTTAATTGTTTTGCTCTCTAGTCAGTATAATATATTAACATGAAATTCATTTATGTACTGACTTTGGCAGTGGCTGCGAGATCACAGTGTAACGATAGTAGGGTACCGTTTTGGGTTCCCTGTGACACACGGCCAGGGAATGGGCATAGAACAAGATGGCGGACAGTCAGAATTTTATAACTTTATATTCTTAGCTTTTTATGTATGTTTCACTGTTCATTTATCGTCTATTAAAAACGTAACATGGTGTCAGGAGTAAAACTAGTCTATGTGGATGGACGTTAGCGTTGATACGGTCGGAAACGACGAAGAAACAAGCGAAAACTCAACGAGAATGGCGTATTTTCAGATACCTCCTCCGGACGTGCTTAATTTAAATGATGGTTCAACGGCTTCGAACTGGCGCGAATGGAAGTCCGCTTGGAGCAATTACACGTTGGCGACAAAGCTTGATAAAGAAGACGAGGCACGTCAGGTAGCTACACTTCTAGCAGTAATAGGAAAAGAAGCAAACAAAGTATTTAGGACATTTGTTTGGGGGTCAGAAGATGATTCTAAGAAAATTGATCTAGTCATAACGAAGTTCGAGGAATACTGTATTCCAAGACAGAATGTGACATATGAACGTTTTCGTCTGTTTACGCGTGATCAAGGGCCCACAGAAACCGTAGACCAGTACATGATGGAGCTGCGTAGAATTTCTGCAAACTGTGATTTGGAGTCGATTACACCAGATCAAATATTGCGAGACCGACTTGTTACTGGAATTAGGGATGCAAAGGTACGCGAACGATTACTTCGAGACAATAAACTTACCTTAGAGAAAGCACTAGACATTGTGCGAGCTGCTGAGAGTACGACAGCTCAAATGAAGGAGATGAATTTAGAGGCTGGAATACATGCTGTCCGGCAGACACAACAACATGACGGGTCCAAAGCAGATGTACCAAAATCGGATAAAGCGGTAATAAAGGATTGCAAATATTGTGGTCGCGATCATGAGAAGCGTAAATGTCCGGCATTTGGCCAAACATGTAGAAAGTGTGGAGTAAAAAATCATTTCGCAGTTAAGTGCCAAGCTAAAAGTAAAGTTTCTGCTGTGCATGATCAAGATCGATTTTATTTGGGCACCACCAAAACGGGTGAAAAGGAAGTTCGTTCAACTGTAACTTTAACAATGTTAAATGAAGTAGATGATGTACCAAATGGAGATGTCCAATTTCTTATGGACACTGGGGCAGAATGTAATGTACTACCATTGAATGTGTACCAGAAAGTGACAGGTGATAAAGAACTAAATAAATTAGATAAGAACAAACGTTCAGTGCTCGTTTTAGCCAATGGATTTGAACAGCCTATTGAAGGTCGGGCCATGGTGAGAGTAAGTCGAGGTACTCAGACCCACAAACTTGTTGTGAATGTAGTAAAAGGACAAGGGTACGAGCCAATCCTATGCAAGCAGACCTTGATATGATTGACATGGACATGATAAAGATCCTTGATTCCGACCAAAAACCCCGAGTAAGTGTAGTAACAGCAGGATGCGACCCTTTGTTACAAGAGTTTAATGATGTCTTTGAAGGTCTTGGAAAGCTCGAAGGACAATACACGATTGTCACAGATCCATCAGTGAAGCCTGTGGTACATCCGCCTCGCCGTTTGCCAGTAGCATTAATCGATCAAGTCCAAGAAAAGCTTGACAACATGGTAAAGGATGACATTATTGCAAAAGTTGATCAACCCACTGATTGGGTCTCCAGCATGCTCGCTGTCCGAAAACCGACGTTGGGACCAGACGGAAAAGTTGATATTCGCATTTGTCTTGATCCAAAAGATCTAAATGGTGCAATAAAACGTGAACATTTCCCAATGCCTACTATTGAAGAAGTTGCTACGCGATTAAATCGGGCGAAAATTTTCAGTGTGTTTGACGCCAGTAATGGATTTTGGCAAGTAGAACTCGATCCAGCGTCCAGCCGATTCACTACTTTCAACACTCCATTCGGGCGGTATTGTTGGAAACGTATGCCGTTTGGTATAAGCAGCGCACCAGAAGTATGGCAGCGAAAAATGCACGAACATGTTGAAGGGTTACATGGGGTGGAAGTGATAGCGGATGATTTTGTTGTGGTTGGGTTTGGAAGTACCCCAGAGGAGTGGAATGCTGACCATGACCGCAATGTCCGTGCTTTTCTGGAGCGCTGTCGGGAGAAGAACCTGAAGCTCAAGAAAGAAAAAGCTCAGTTAAGGAAGACGGAAGTGGCATTTATCGGACACATATTAACCCCAGATGGTTTGAAGCCTGATCCAAAGAAAGTAGAGGCCATCAACGACATGCCTCATCCTACAGATGTGCAGTCTCTACGAAGGTTCCTGGGTATGGTAACCTACCTAGCCAAGTTTTTGCCATGTCTTTCTGATGAAACGGAAGTGTTGAGGAAGCTCACAGAGAAAGATGCCGAGTGGTGTTGGTTAACCGCACACGAAGAAGCCGTGGTCCGAATCCAAAGAATGATCAGCACTGTGCCAGTGCTTGCCTACTATGACGTCACAAAGCCCGTAACTATACAGTGTGATGCCTCCCAAACCGGTCTTGGAGCTGCTCTTCTACAAGATGGCCACCCAATTGCCTACAGCTCTCGAGCACTAACAGCAACTGAGCGCAACTACGCGCAAATAGAGAAAGAGCTCTTAGCCATTGTCTACGCATGCGAGAAGTTCGACCAATACATTTTCGGAAAGAGCGACGTAGTGGTAGAATCAGACCACAAGCCACTGGAGACTATATTTAGAAAACCCATTCACAGCGCACCGAAGAGGTTGCAACGGATGCGATTACGACTACAAAGCTACGATATCCGAGTCGAATACAAGAAAGGAACCATGATGTATCTGGCTGATACGCTCAGTTGAGCGTATTTGAATGTCAGCGCAAAACAAAGAGAGTCTTGTGATGTATGAGCAGTGAAAGAACAAGTATTTTCAGCTGAACTCGAACAGTTAAAGCATGATGAAGACCTAAATGTTCTCCCACGAAAATTGAAGAGACTGCGGGAAGAAACAAGCAGAGATGAGGAGCTCAAAATTCTGATCCACTTTATCACTCATGGTTGGCCTGACAATCGTAAGGAAGCATCCAAACTCGATAATCCCAGTAAGAGAGTTTTCCATTTATACTGGAACAGTCGTGATGAATTGACCTATGAAGATGGCATTGTGTATAAAGGACACCGCGTGGTGATACCTGCGGCAGAGCGTCAAAATACCATGAAAAGCTTGCATCAATCACACATCGGTATCGAAGGCACTTTGAGACGAGCACGTGACACCGTCTACTGGCCTGGAATTACGGCAGTTCTTAAAGATTACATATCCAAATGTGGAATTTGTAACAGATATCGACCAGAACAATGCAAAGAACCATTGCACCCTCACAAAGCGCCCGAAATACCATGGGAGAAAGTCGGCGTAGATTTATTTGAGTTGGACGGACAGACATTCCTAATAGCGGTGGATTATTATTCTGGGCTGTTTGAAGTTCAAGACATGACAAGTACAGTGGCATCGCGTGTCATCACCGTACTGAAGTCGTGGTTTGCTCGACACGGTATTCCTATTACAGTGATGAGCGATAATGGCCCGCCATTCAACAGCGAAAGTTTTAAAGACTTTAGTGACGAATGGGATTTTAACCATATTACCTCTAGTCCTCACCACCCACAAAGCAATGGAAAAGTTGAGAATGCTGTAAAGACCTGCAAATCATTGTTAAAGAAAGCTCGCGACGACAAACAGGCTCCACTCCTCAGCATACTCGAATGGCGCAATACACCAACCGAAGGCATGGGTGCTTCTCCCGCCCAGTTACTGTATGGTAGACGTACTCGAACACGTCTTCCTGTTGCAAAGAAACAGTTGAAACCGACTCTTATCGAAGGAGTGACGAAGAAGATGGAGAAAGGCAAAGAGAAGCAAAAGAAATATTTTGATCGACAGTCGCGGAAGTTGAAAAGGCTGTCAGCAGGCGATGTCATCCGAATGCGTTGTCCGGGTGATTCAAGATGGTCTCTTGGTAAGGTCATTGAAGTTATGGGTTTTCGATCTTACCTGGTTGAGGTCAATGGAAGAAGATATCGTCGAAATCGAAGGCATTTACGTACGACCGCAGAGCAGTTACCTTTACAAACCGAACTGTCCGATGCAGATGAGCCGTTGACTGACGACGAATCAATCAACGAGCCCCCTGAAGTAGATACAATGGGAGGCCAGAGACATGGGGAAGATGGTAATGTACGCCGCTCGGGGCGAAGCCATCGTGCTCCAAAACGTTTTGAAGATTACGAGTGCAATTGACACTAAACCTTTAAATAAACTAGTTATAGGTTTGAACCGAATGTGATCGGTTGATTACATAGAACAGTTATCGAACTTGTTTATGATAACGCATAGCTAATTCGAACAATCGAACAGTTTCCGTTGAGTTTTGTTTTGAAGCTATAATTAAGAAACTTAAGGAGAAGAGATGTAACGATAGTAGGGTACCGTTTTGGGTTCCCTGTGACACACGGCCAGGGAATGGGCATAGAACAAGATGGCGGACAGTCAGAATTTTATAACTTTATATTCTTAGCTTTTTATGTATGTTTCACTGTTCATTTACCGTCTATTAAAAACGTAACAGCACCAATATGGTTTTAGGAAAAATAGATCAACCGAACTTGCAATAATTGAACTTGTTGAAAAAATTACAAAAGGTATAGATGGAGGGAAATATACAATAGGTATTTTCCTTGATCTATCAAAGGCATTCGACACAATTAACCACAGGATTCTGATTAAAAAACTAGAATATTATGGTATAAGAGGTAACTGCCTAGAATGGTTTAAAAAGTATTTGGAGAATAGAAAACAAATCGTTAAGTACAACAATGTAAAATCAAATGAAATGATAATAAAAAGTGGTGTCCCACAAGGATCAATACTTGGGCCACTGCTGTTTCTATTATATATAAATTATATTCAAAACTGCAGTAAAATAGTTTCTATTATTCTATTTGCAGATGATACTAATGTATTTTATAGTCATACCTGTCTAAAAACACTTAATGAAATAATGCAAATAGAAATCAATAAAATATCGGATTGGCTGAATATAAATAAATTATCTATAAACACGGCGAAAACTAAATTTATGTTATTTAGATCATCAAAGAAAAAACAAAAACATAATGCAACTATTTCTATAAATGAACAAATAATTAAGCAAGTTAAAGACACTACATTTCTAGGCGTTGTTATTGACGAGTGCTTAACCTGGAAAGAAGATATTAATTTAATCTCTAAAAAAATTATAAAAGCATCAAGTATCATTTCCAGAATACGTCATTTTACCAATCTTAATACTCTGAAGCTAGTTTATTATGCACTGGTCTATCCATATCTGATTTATGGGAACCTAATCTGGGGTAATACGTATAAAACTAGAATTCAAAAGATAATGAATATACAAAAGAAAATTATGCGCATAATGACTTTTAAGTCATACTCTGAACACACTGAAACTATTTTCAAACATTTAGAAATACTAAACATTTTTCAAATGAATGACTTTTTAACCAGTTTATTCATGTTTCGATATTTTAACTTAAAAAATTTACCCGAAGCATTCACCAACTATTTCACAGTTAATAATGATGTTCATCAATACAATACAAGGAAAAAATCACAGCTTCATAAATCTTATAAAAGAACCAATTATGTAAAACATACTCTTTCAAACAAGGGAGTTGATATTTGGAATGGTTTAGAAAAAAAATATAAAAATATTAGATCCCTTCAATCTTTTAAAAAAATAATTAAAAAGCACCTCTTACAAAACTGCAGTACTTAATCTTAGACTTAATAGACTAAACGACAATTTCATGTATTTTGAACTTCTTGAAGTTTCTATACGCATACATTGCAACTATATATATGCATGTATATACATATGCGTGTATATATGTGTGTGTATATGTGTATATTATATATATGCATGTTAACATAGGTAGTGGTTATACATGTAATTTACGTTGCTATATACTATATGTATAATCAATTGAACAATCAACTTTGTATATAAGATTATAGACTATAGTTATTAATTGTTTTGTTTTGAAAGTTTTGAACTGCCAAAAACTATAAATAGTTAATCCTAATCTAGGGGCCTTAATAAAAAGCCTGTCAAGGTTTCTAGTAGGCTCCTAGCCCTTATAATAATATAATATTGTAAATAGCTTAATATATATATACATCTATTTGGAGGGCAAATTAAAATTTAAAAAAAAAATTTAAAAAAAAACAGAAGTAGCTTCACGAATACTTTGATTGTCAATACAAATCGACAGAACCTTATGAGGTTTCTTTTTAGGAGAATGGAAAACAACGAAATTGGTCTTTTCAATATTTAAAGCCAGTCTTTTAAATATTTAAAGCCAGTCTATTCGCATTCAACCATTGTGAAACATTTTTCAATTCAATGTTTAAAGTAGTTTGAATCAAGTCGAGATTTTTGGATGAAAAGAATATGTTTGTATCATCAGCAAATAAATGAAATACCAATCGAATGGAACAATACGGCAGGTCATGAATATAAAGTAAGAAAAGTAAGGGTCCCAGAACTGATCCCTGCGGTACTCCACAAGAAATAGCTTTAAGGCTTGAGTTAATACCGTTAATTGATACATATTGATTTCTACCTGTCAAAACGGACTTAAACCATTTATTAACAACACCTCTAAATCCATAAAATTCAAGTTTGTTTAAAAGAATATGATGGTTAATGGTATCAAAGGCCTTTTTGAAGTCTATGAATAAACCAACTCCAAAAGAACCTTTGTCAAGAAACTCCTTCAAATTTTCAATAGTACTTAATAATGCATGTGATGTAGAACGATTAGCTCTAAATCCAAACTGAAATTCATTAAGAATATTGCGATACTCTAAATAATTATGTGCTCTTTTATAAACTAATTTTTCAAAACTTTTGCTGAAAATTGATAAAACTGATATTGGTCGATAATTACTCATGTCAGTTCTAGAACCCTTTTTAAATATTGGCGTAACTTTAGCTATTTTAAGTTTGTCAGGGAATATGCCATGTAAAAAAGAATCATTAATTATTTTTGAAAGACACAGAGAAATATTATTATTGAGTATCTTCAAAAGTTAAATGGGTATGCTATTCGGTCCAGCTGACTTGCTACAATTAAGAGATGAAATAACTGACGAAATCTCAAATTCAGAAACAGGGGAAAAATAAAACGAATTACCATAATGACCCTTCAAAACAGATGTGAATTGGATTGAACTCATAGGAACAGATTTCTCTGTTTGTTTACCTACATTGACAAAGAAATCATTAAAAGTATTAGCAACAGCCTCCGAGTCAGTTATTAAGTTACCGCCATTAAGATGAATTGCAGCTCTAAGATTATTATCACTAAAATTAATAATAGACTTAATACCTGACCACCGCTTCTTCATATTATTCTGATTTTGATTAAAATATTTATGGTAATATTGTTGTTTACTATTTCTAATATCCCTTACAACTCTATTACGAAATGATAAAAATAACTGCTTTGTTTGAATGTTGTCTGATTTAAACTGTTGTCTAAAGAGTTCATCTCTAAATTTAATCTTCTTTTGAATGTCAAAATTAATCCAAGGTTTTGATCTCAACTTAGTTTGCTTTTTAGAAAGCTTACGATGAGGAACACTCTGACTAATAAAGTCTGAAGTTTTTTTCAAAAACATATCAAATTTATTATTACAGTCAATATCAGGATTATCTAAGTATATCCAATCAAAATTGGAGAACTTATTGATAAAAGAACGTTCATCAATTTTACTAAAATCGTAAAATTCAGAATTTAAAGATTTATAGTAAATTTTCAAATCATTAAGTAAAAGAAATTGAGCAAAATGATCAGATAAATTAGTCACAATATTACCACTTATGCAATGATGATTAATAGTATTACCATATATATTATCAATCAATGTTGCAGAATTCTCTGTAACATGAGTTGGCTGAAGAATTTAAGGTAAAAAGAAATTTGCATTCAACGTATTGAGGAACTCATTTGTTTCATTATGTCGGTCAAAGTCTAATAGGTTAATATTAAAATCGCCTATCATAAAAATTTGTTTGTTCTCATTGGATATTTTTAGAAATACAGACTCAATGTGTTCTCTAAATTTTCTCAGGTCAGAAGATGGGTGATAATATATACATGAACATAATATATCGATCAATTCGAAACTTCACCATCCCCCCCCCCCCGGGCATACCCCGGGAATTTGACTTCAAGTCTTCTCCAGGGAGTAGGGAATTTGACGTTCTAAGTCTTCCATGTGGTGGGGTTGATAACGGGGTGGGGAATTTGAACCGGAAGTCTTAAAATAATAGGTTTTGTTTGTGGAAACACCACGTAAATTTATTACTGCAAAGCTTTCGATCCGTAAGCCCGGATCTTCATCAGTGCTAATAATATGTCGAAGAAGAAGATGAAGATCCGGGCTTACGGATCGAAAGCTTTGCAGTAATAAATTTACGTGGTGTTTCCACAAACAAAACCTATTATATTTTATCACCATGCAAACATACAAAGAAGTCTTAAAATGTTGCCCGTTTTCGCGTGCTCCCTGCATGCACAGAAAATACTTTGTAATGGCGGCAAATACAGTTTTCTCAGATTTCGAGGGAAACAGCCTCAATTTTGTGAAAAAACTGGCTCAAAGAAACGGGCATGGAAAATCTATGTGTTTCATTTGAAGGTATGTACTACATAACGTGTAAAACTGTTAAATTTCCACAAGGTATCCAAACTGTTTACGCGAATTTCGCTATCTTGTCGAAAACATTTCCGTATATTTTGTACTTTTTGTATTTACTGTTTCATAATTTTCATATGAAGGTGGGGCATTTGAACGCTTAATTTCTTGTTACAGTGGGGCATTTAAAGACATTTTTTGCACAGAGGGTGGAGAATTTGATCAGTCAAATTTCAAAAAGTTCAAATTCCCGGGGTCGGCCCGGGGGGGGATGGCGAAGTTTCGAATTGATCGATACATAATATGTTTTTACCCTTGGAGTTCTTGATTTCAATCCATAAAGTTTCAAAATCATCGGATATGCAACTAAGATCAGACTTTCATTATGTATAAGTGAGTTACTTATATACATAGCAACCCCACCAGCAGATAATTTAGTTGGTTGGGTATATAAATCATATCCACATAGATTATTGTTCATCTTAAACCCCTTGTTAATGAGTTCTCTAGTCTCGGATATTCCTATAATATGAAATGGAATATCCATAGTATATAAAAGAGATTGCAATTCATCAAAATGAGCATCAAGGCTTCTAAGATTAATATGAAATAAAGAAAATGTATTGATGTCAAAATACCTCTTTAAAGTGTTTAAATCATCCATATAATAATATTGAGAATTAACTGGGTTGGGCATCATACTTTCATTATCAAAGTCACTGAGATTAGGCCTTGAAGACAATTTGGATAATACATCAAATGATGGTGGAAAGTCAAGACTAGTAGGTCTATCATATGATAGTATTTTTACAAACTCAAAATCATTTAAATTAGAAAATGGAAAGTTATAGGCCAGACAAAATCTACATAGCCACATGTTATCAGAACAGGCATGTAGGTAGTCAGCTGGGCCAAAGGACATACATCTTGGGTGAAATAATAAATCGCAAGTAGAACATATTAGAACTTTTTGGTTATTCCCAATTTGAAAACTGCACATATTGCAGTTCATAGGAATATTTGATATGTTACTAGCCATTGAGATACTTAGGTAATTTAATATTCACAACAACAACACACATGTATGGCTTAAAACGCCAATATAGTTTCAACGTGCAGGCACTTGCCTATCCTTTACTACTAACTTATCCAGTACAAAATATGCGATCTTGCCTTGTTCTTTGGCTTCTCTAAGTCGAGGTAAAAGATCTTTCCTTATCTTCATAGTTTCCTCGGTGACATCTTCACTGACGAATATGCCAGTCGGTCGTAATCGTCTTGCAGCTTTTAGGATAGACTCTTTAACTTTCCAATCATAAAGATTGCATATCACTGTTCTAGGTCTAGAGGGGATGGAGCCATCAAGATTCCTTTTACGACCTGTTCTATGCGCTCGTTTGAACTGTGGCTCTATTTCGAGATTGAGTCTGTCCTTCGAGATTTTTCTAGCTTTCTCTTCGGTTTGTTCCCATGTTTCGTTGAAATCTTCTGGGATTCCATTTATTCTAATATTGTTACATCTACTTTGGTTTTCAAGATACATCAGTTTGGACTTTATCTTTGTCATTTCAAATAAATAAATAAATTATCAAATAAATTATCTATAAATTAATTAATTAATATCTATAAGCCAAATAAATTATCTATAAACTTGAAGAAAACCAATTTTATGATTTTTAAACCGAAGCAAAAAAAGTATTACGTTAATCCCAAAATTGCCTTAAATAACCATGAAATAGATTTGGTCAATGAAGCTAGCTTTCTTGGGGTAATCTTAGGGAAATACCTCCAATCTTCATTTGTGAAATTTGAGCATGTGGTTCGATAAAATTTGAATTTGCCGCGATTATATAAACGGAATTAGAATGCTGATATAAATATATTTATATATATTTATAGCATTTATACTTCAACAAATGCTACTGTAAAAGTTTTATATTTGAATCAGACTTATTCATGTTTATTAATATATTTGTATATCCCAAGTGCCAACTGTATATGCCAGATTAATTGTAAATTGTCAGCCATATTTAATTTCAATTCAATTTTTTTTCAATTCAATTTATTACAAGTTAAAAACAAACAAGTTACACACTACACTAACCCGCAAGTAGTTAAAAACTAATCTAGGCGGGTATAGTGTTGATTAGAAAATTTAACTACTTGCTCAAATCAGCAGCAGTATTTATTCATATGTTTTGTTTAAATTAAACAATTTTCATTTTGAGAGGCCTTGCACCAGTCAATGTATTAAAATCTGTTAGCCTTTAGACATGCTTTAGTGTAATGCCAGGAAAATTATCCATGTTTTTTCTATTAATTAAACATAACTATGTGATGGTATTCAAATTAACCAGACTCTCTGCTAGCTTACATTTCATGCTAACTTGTTAAGATGAATGTGCTCAACTTTCAGTACTTTTTTATTTTACCTTGTCTAACACCAGATCATTTTACTTGAAAGAGAGTGGACAACTTTGATAGGTTACCTTGCTGTCTCCCTGTGTTTTGTGTAAACTCAATAAGACCCAATTCACAAATTCACACTAATGTGCTCTATTTCAAAGCTCACTATTTGCCCTGTTAATACCAGACTATTTTGCATTATTTGGCGTTAGCACATTTAGATGTAATTCACCCTAACACTCAATCCCCACTTTCAGTACTTTGATATTTATCAGATGATTTTACTCATCAAAATGAATGTTGGTCATTGAAAGGTTAATAATTAACTGCAAAAGCTGCTGTGTGGCATATTTAGAAGCAATGTGCCCTACTTTTAGTACTTTGTTATTTTACTGTGTTTATTCTATTAAAGTGCTAGACTTTCCACTTAGAGTAAAATAATAAATTGGGTGCATTTGGGCATATTTAATGGGTTAACAAAACACATTGGAATGGTATACATAAAAGAAATGTATTTGTCTTTTTACAGCTATCAACAAAGTATGGATGTAAGGCCTCAGAGGTTCATCAACATATGAGGACAAATATAAACAACATGGGAAAGTGTTGCAAAGTACAGAAAAGCAAACAAGAACAAGAACTTATTTGAGGACTATGTTTTGAGGCCAGTTTTAAACTTAACTTTAAATGTCAATTATGGTTATTACCTATGGGTTTAGCCCATTAAGTGCCAGCGCTCTGACGAGTAAAACCGTCTGGCATTAGACAGAGTAAAGTATAGTAAAATAATAAAGTAGGGCGCATCAGGGTGCAATGTGATTCAATGGGTTAACTGGACACATATATAGGAATATAGGCTAGTTAACCCATTCGGAGCCAGCATTTCCCCTTGACATTCAAGTACAATTGTCTGGAGTTAGACAGAGTAAAATAGTCTGGCATTAGACAAAGTAAAATAGTTAGACAGAGTAAAATAATAATAAAGTAGGACGCATCATATGGCATTGCATTGAGGTAGAACGATTAATTTGGCATAATAGGTGAAAACTATAATTGATTTGTAATGTTTAGTATAACCAATTTCTCATATTAATTTTTATATTTGCAATATTAATTAGTATTTATTAATATTTATATCTATTTTTTGCATTAAAAAATTAAGAGTGATGAACAACATTGTCTGTCATTTACTATTATTTCATCTAGATTCTAGAATTTCTGCAGGAATACCAAAAATCTTATAGGAAATTAGAATAAATTATTTTCTTATAGGAAATTCCTATAATAATTTGGGACTAGACTTGAGAATTCTTATAGGAATTCTTCCTATTAAATTCTTATAGGAATTCCTGTAGAAAAAATTCCTATAGGAATTTTTCCTATAGGAATTCCTATAGGAAAAATTCCTATAAGAATTTGGGACAAAATTCCTATAAGAATTTGGGACAAAATTCCTATAGGAATTCCTATAGGAAAAATTCCTATAAGAATTTTTCCTATAGGAATTTTTCCTATAGGAATTTTTCCTATAGGAATTTTTCCTATAGGAATTTTTCCTATAGGAATTTTTCCTATAGGAATTTTTCCTATAGGAAAAATTCCTATAGGAATTTTGTCCCAAATCAACTTCATCAAAGTTGTCACCATTGTGTGAATCAACTTCATTCAAAGTTGTCACCAACTCAAATCAACTTTAATCACTCAAATCAACTTCATCAAAGTTGTCACCAGTTGGTGTTGAAAAGATCACACAAATACTATTCACAGGTTCAAGGACAAATGTGGATATGTGGTGTGCAACAATGTTACTTCATTGTGTGGACTCAGGTAAACAAACCTCGATCAGTATGAAAAAATATACTTTGATCAGATATACTTTGAGACACTCATATTCAAATTATATGAAATTACAGCAGCTGTCCCATAGTTTCTGGCAAAGATTGTATATTATATATTGTTACTGGCAGTGCCACCAATTACAAATAAGTCTTCTAGAAGATACTAAAGTAGGGTATGGGATGCTAATGTGTCAGAGACAAGCTACAGTGTAATAATATATAATATAGCTGTTATACAAAACAGCATATTGTATTTCACAGTTCTAGAGTAAAGATACCAACAGTTAGCCAATTCATGTAATACAAAACATGTTATTCTTATTGTACATCATTGTTCTCTTTATTCCTCTGTTTATCTACAGTATCCACTTTGACAGTTTCCTGCTGTGTCAAGCCATGGAATCCCTTTGAACGATGTGTCGTTCTATCTCGGCATGTTCCATATTCGCCAACATGCATTTTCCTGTAATAAAGTAAATATATCACTATACATGTTAAATATATTACATACAATTTGTTTTGTATTAAACATACCCTATTCTTGCAAGGTGTTTTGCGAGTACGTCCCACACTTGCATACACCCCCCCCCCCAATTTGTCTATTTTTCCGGCTCCCTATGACATTGGAAATTCCAATATTTTTAATCTCAAATTTCTGAACAATGATCAACATTAAACAAAATTATTAATGGCGGCAATATTTACATTTGTTCTGACCTCAAAATGTTGAAAATTATTCCCATGAACCTAATTTCTAGAATGTTTCAAATTGTATATGTTATAATATAAAAACATTTACAGCTAATATAATACAAGTTTACAAGAAGTTTAATCTAGATTTTAGAGTCAGAAATCGATTTCATTGTCAGAGTCTAGATCACCATTTTCTAAATCAGACATAGTCAGTTCGGTGATGTCAATCACATCCATTTTCGACGAGATTGTTTTGCGTTTTATTGGATAGCTATGGCTAGAACAATTCAGTCATCAAATTTTTGCATTGAACCATTATACGATCGCTGCATCTGGGCAGAAATCATCCATTGAGTTACAAACACATTCCTGGCTGATTCTGAGGTTCGCTTCCAGTCGATCTCTGCCAAGTCGATTATGCCAGTCTGTCTTCACTCTGCCGATAGTGCGAAACATTTGTTTGAGCTTTGCATTGGAAAATGCAGTTATAAGCAATAACTCCATAATATGCAGCACATTTGCGCACTCCTGTTCTCCTCAATTTCTTTCTTAACATTCTTATCTAATATGATTATCTAATATGACCTCTATGGGTTGTGCAGCCCCCAACATTTGAGCAAGTAATGCACTTAACATTGGAAATGTTGAAGCATGCAGTCCCATTTCTCCTCCTGTACTATGGCCTGCATGTTTTTTTTTTAAACTATGGCCAGCATGTTTTGAAAACAATCTTAGTTATCTTTTTAGCTTTACCAGAAAAAATATCTCCAAACAACACACAAGACAAACAAAATGCACCATCCATTAGATGGTGAATAATAGCAAAGCCACTAATACAATTCCAACCAATTATACCTAAAGCTTCTACCATTAGTCTTAGGAAAGGCAAATTTTTTGTCAGGCTTAAAGACATTTCTAACTCACAAATCTCAGAAGAATCCATACCCTTAACTCTCCCCCGGTTTGATGCAACATCAAAGTTATGAACAAAATTAGACTATAAATTACCACAACAATGACTACTAGAATGTGGAACAGAGCTTGATAAGGATGTGCTTGGTTTGGAAGAAATAACAGAACCTACTGATGTGGTAGGTTTAATAAGCTGTTTCAGCTTACCGGATGATGTGGCAGAAGAAAAAGTCTTATTAGGTGTCTTCTGAGAATCTGGGTTGGTGAAGGGTTTTTCCGCTACATTAAAAAAGTTAGAAATGTTACCAGAAGGAATTTTCAAAGCTGTTTTAGAGGAATGAGAAGATACCTTTTGTTTCTTGGCTGCTATTGATGCCTGTGACCTAGCAACAAATTTTCGTTTTTGCAGCCGTGCATGAAAAAAGAAGAAGGGCAAAGTGATTAGACTGAAATGTTTCTCCATGTCTAATTGTTATATGTTGTGTTACATTTGTTTATATTACGATCGGACTGTTATCGGGACAAATCACCTTTCGGTGTATGGGATTTAAGATAAAAAGACAACAACAGTTGTTTTGAATACGGACTCGATATAGAGTAAAATATAGTTTGTAAACGGGTTGTTTTAAGTAAATAAAGTATCCAAGAGTTTAGTACAACAATGGCGACGAGTTCTACAGCTGCTACGGCTACAAAAGGACCCAAGCTAAAAGTTTTACCCTTCGATCCTCACAGAGATCGGTTAGACCTGGGGAAACGATGGGAAAAGTGGTTCGAACGATTTGAGAGAGACCTCAAGTATAACGGATGTGACCCTAGTAAAACACCAGAAATAGCCAAAATGGCGCTGTTAATATACGCAGGCACCGAGGTGGAAGACCTGCACGACACTCTGCCAGAACCAGGCAGACCAGAAGGCACAGAGGAAGAAAACTGGACCGCATATGAGCAATCTAAAACCAAATTGAAAATACATTTTTCACCAAAACAGTGCAACGACTTTGCTATCTTTGAATTACTCCGAATGAAAATCGAATCGTCAGAAAGTATTACAAGTTATGCGATGAGGCTGCGTAAAGCAGCGAGCAAGTGCGATTTTACAAATTGGTCGGCGGAGAAAATAATCAAAAGCCTGATCATCAGCAATATGCAAGATGACACCCTTCGCCTAAAATTTTTACAGAAGGACAGAGCACTGGACCAAATCTTAGATATCGCTAGAAAGAAGGAAGATGCTGTGGCCCGAAGTAAAGTAATAGACAGGGACTCGCGACAGGTAGTCAACAAGGTGGGTGCCAAACGAAATCAACCGTTACAACAGAAGGAGACCACAGACCAGTGCAATCGGTGTGGACACGAGAACCATTTCTCTGCTTCGGAGTGCCCAGCCATATCCAGAATCTGCAATTACTGTAAAAAGAAAGGACACTATGCCAGCAAGTGCTTCAAGAAACAAAACGAAGCAGGAATCAAACGCATCGAAGCAGAACCCCAAACTGACACCGGAACCGACACCAACTCCGACACTGATGAGTACGACACAGCCAAGATCGAATTAGTTAACAATCTTGGGATGAGGGAAAAGCCATCGCTGATGAGAGTCCGCACTAACGACCAAGATATTCTGTGGCAGCCGGATACCGGGACCCAAAAAGACGTCTGGGATGAGGCACACTTCCGCAGCTTTAAAGAAAAGACTCGGGGGGAAGTAAAGTTGACACCGACAAACATCAAGCTATTTGCATATGGGGGCAAGACACCACTGGCGGTCATCGGTTCATTCAAGGCAGTGCTGACAGCTGGGGATCGGACAGTCGACACTGAGATATATGTGACATCTGAACCATCCGCCTATCCACTACTTTCCGAACAGTCAGCCAAACAGCTCCAATTGATCCGGTATAATGAGAAGTTCCTAGTAAAGCGAGTGTCTGAGCCCTGCAAGAAAGTTTTGGCAATGACTAGGCGCCAAAAGATAGCCGACATGATTATGGATAACCCCGAGGTGTTCACGGGTAAGATCGGCAAAGCCAAAACGAATGAGGTGTCC